AAATATAAGTGGCAGTCATATTTATATTTTTTATTTTTATTCACGCTTCGCTGGGCTCTTTTTTTCATGATCGTTTACTTTAATTTAGAATATACACTACTTTTACGACAATCAGTGCATGTATATGTACATACGGGTGAGTGTATGTCGAAATTGACAGAGTAGGTATGAATGATTAAAAAAGTTTTTTTTTTTAATTTTCATAACTTGAATGGTTTAGCGCAAATGTGATGAAATATTACAACTCGATGTTATTTAAACAAATTTTAGTAGTAAATTATTACTTTCTTTGATGTGCCATACCCTGACCTAAGTGGTGTTTAATACCATTCGAAATTATTAACTTATTTTCAAGGAATACCGTCTTATCCAATATTAACTTATCCAATAGATAATTTGATAGTTTTTTTTCTTAAAATTCATGCATTCATTTAAGGGATAATAAAATCATGAAATTAATTTTGACGAACACATGTTGAGGTTAAAAATGAATTACAATGAGGTAAACGTAACTTTAAATAAAAATGAAAAAAATCTTACCTAAGATATCATCAAGAGCTTATTGGAAAAATTTATACGATGTTTTGAGAATGAGGCCGTGCGCTGCATCACTCTTTTGTAGTTCACAAAATAATGTACAAGTTTTTTTGCCAACCATATGAAGTATATATGTCAATAGTTATTTTTATTGTTTCTTTATCATTGTTATTATTATTATTATTATTATTATTTTTTTTTTTTTTTTCAAGTCTTATATTATGGACGAAGCAGCCTCAGGTTTCGTTAGGCCCAAGGTCCTGACATTATCGTTTCCATTATCCGTTTCGTACTTCCAGAGGCGCCTCTGCTCATCTCGTGTTGTTTTTCACGTGTTTTAATCTACATACTGATGTTAGTACTTTGTTTATAAAAATAATTGTTAAAATTTTTCGATTACTCGTTTTGTCATGTATGTTAAAATAATGTACTGGCATCCAAGGCAACATTCGTTTTATCAATTGCATAATATAAACTTTTATTCCTTTATAAATTATATATTTACATGTTCTTTTCTGTGCGATAGAGCCAGAAACAATTAGAAATCGATCAGCTTTCCCTACTACAAAAGCTTTGAAAGTGTTCAGTCAAGTATTATGTACGTATAAGACGATTAATAGCAATAACAATAGCAATAGTAAATTCGTGAAAATTTTGCTTGTTTTCGCATCGAAGTTGATGAAAAATTATTGAAAAGCATAGTTAATAGAGCAGCAAGTTTCAGCGCCTTAGGTTTCCGAAAAAAACAGCGTCACTCGTCGTCATTATCGCTATTATTTTTTATAGCTATCATTATTAACAAAACTTTATCTGGTGGCAAGATAAAATTAAGGCTGTGACTAATTCACCTAACTACCCACCATTCACCAATTATGCGTAATTCATGCATACACTCGTCCCTTCGGAAATAATATTACAAAATTATTAACGCCTCAATTTTTTTATTTTTATAGATATATAATTTTTTTTTCAGTTTTTGTATGTACAAACTAGCTTTAATCGTTCATTTTCATTTATTACGTTTTTTTTTTTTTTTATTTTTTAAACAATAGTAATAATAACGCTTTTCCTCATTTTCCTTATAACAGTTCGAGGTTGACTATCTATTAAAAATAGCCGATCGCACATAGACCCGCGTGGCCAAAGTCTCTCCATGCCTTACGAGTCGTGACAAATGTATAAGATAGGAGAACAAGAAATATATTAAAGAAAGTTACAATAATTCTAAAACAATAATAACAATAATAGTATTTGTTCTGCGTTCGGAGGAACTGAACCGAAGAATGTTAAATAAATGCACGCTTAAGAGGATACGAACGATTAACATGCGTATGTGTGTCTGTGTAGGGATTGATACGAAAATTATACGCGACGGGTTGCGTGTATTATCACAAACACTCTTGACTGTGAAACTTGGAGAGACTTTGCTTTGATTTTTCCCATTTTTCTCTCGTAGACATTTTTTTGACTTTTCCACGCGACTTTTATATCATGGGCGTAAATGTGTGTATATTGTTCGGTTTCATTTTTTTTCCAGCGTAAATACATATAACTATTAAGACATTATTATGGTAACTACTTTTTTTTCCTGTGAAGAACAGAAAAGGAAATAATATTAAAGTTTGTCTCGTAATTTTTCGTCAGGATCGCGATTTGTGTAATTTTTTTCACATTTCTACAAACTTTTATGTTTTCGCTAATAATTTTTCGAATAATAATTTTATGCTGAGTTAACACTACTTGGATTTAATATGTACGTTTTATTAGTAAAACTTTTGTAGTACAGTACTTCAAAGCTACGTCAATGCAACAATTTAAAACATGTAGGTGTCTTTTATTAAAAATAAATTTAAGTCATAGTAAAAATGATTGAGATCTCTTTTGTTTGCCATATTTGCAGTCTGTATTTTTTTTTTTTTTTTCTGTGTCATTATTAAGTTTAACAAACAAGTGCCATACTTTATAGTTAAGCTCAGCATATACTATTGTTCAATCAGTAATTTATCAATTTATATAATTTGGTAACTAAATAGAGAATACGTTGGCGGGTATATTAAAAAAGTCTGATATCGCTTGAGTGTTTTTGTCAGATGCAGAGAAATATTTATTTAAAAAATTGCAAGCTTACGTATCTGTGGCAGTACAGGAGTTGTTAAAATTTAAGTATTATCAAAATATAAAAAAATTCATTGAAGCACATAATAGTTGTAATATCATTTTCGTGCATCTTTATCAGACTTTTTATTTTTCAACTGAACACATACTGTCGGCGGTAATTTGGAAAATTTGTAAATTTGTAGTGTTGTAGTTTTTTTCATAATCGTGCCCCTTGGTTGTATTTTGACTGAAGAAAATGAATTGTAAGCAGTAAATTTTACCATTTTGTGATTCTCATAAAGGAAGTTGAGTCTTGATGTGTATATCTTTTTTTTTTTTTTATTATAATTTTTTAAATAAATTAACCATTTTATTTAAATACAGTTAAAAATTTACAATATACATTCAACATTATTTCTTAAGTCTTAAAAAAAGTAACTTCACCTAGTCGTATTTTCCATAAAAGATCCGAACATTCGAATTCATCATAACTTCTAGACTAAGTTTGTAAACGCTAAAGCTCTTCCTTCATGAGAAATTCAAATTTCCAATCTTACACTTTGGTAACTTCAAAAGTTTATTCGTGCAGATGGCCGATAAAAATCGCTTTGGCAGTATCGTAATGAATCGCAGATTGATAACATACTTATCGGTAACTGACATTGGTAAAAACTGCTGTCACGAAATTAAATAGCAGTGACAAAACAGGTGATATAGATCATTTGTAACAAAAATGGCTACGTGTTATCATGGTATGCACGTCCGATTAAAAATGGTCATCGCGTTTAGACGTTGTCGTAAGGCTGGTTTTTTTTTTTTTTTTTTATACACATATACGATGGAAAAGCGAAAGAAATCAAATCACGCCCGCGCTTCTTATTTTCTTTCATGAAATTACAGAATTCACACTTTTCCCTCCTGCCCCCCTTTACCCCACTAATTTCCTCTACAATAACGTGATACATTAGTGTGTATGGTGTGTAAATGGTGTATGCGATTTTTATTTTTATTTTTTATACATATGCGAGTTGATATGATTCAGTTCACAAAATTGTTGCATTAAAAATCCATTATCTTGTAATTAGCAAGCGCCACTAGCAACAGAACTCGTACTTTCTTACGTGTGCACTTAAACGATAATTAAGGATTTCTCTTCTAATCATAGGATATCTAAAGAGTAGAAAGTGGACAAATGAGAGTTGATATGATTTAGTTCACAAAATTGTTGCATTAAATAGCCATTATCTCGTCATTAGCAAGCGCCACTAGCAACAGAACTCGTACTAGNTTATTACACATACATATATTGCAACTGAACGTTGTTGCTGTTCGGTTGGCTGTATTTTTAAAAATTTATATTTCAGCTGGTTCCCTCGTTATATTATATAGCATGTAACAGTGATTCTTATTTTTTTTTGTTTTTTTTGTTTTTATTATTATGCGGGATTATATACCTCGTGTTGATTTGACTACTAGTTTGCTTTTTTATTCATTTATTTTTAACTTTTCAACGTTAAAATGGCGCAGTGTAATAATACGCTTGGTTTTCATTATTTTCATCATACTTTTTTTTTTTTTTTTTTACAATGTACATATAATAAAAGAGTCTTAACTATCGATTCGGATTCATATGCAACGTGAACACACTCACCATGACCGTTAAGTTGTTCGACTTGCGTAAAGTTACCTATGTAATAGTCTTTTAGTTTCGATAAAAAAAGTTTCAGTCCATCTCGATTTTTTATTCATTAAAATTTTTTCGTCTTTCATTCGACCGAGAGTTAAACTACCGCTGTAAATATACATAATGTACTCCCTATTACGAATTCATTTTTTTTCGTCTCGCAAATAATCCTAAATTATCTCTGCTCGCAACGTCTCTCTGATCCGTCCACGTTTGCATTATTTCATTATTATTATTATTTTTCTTTTCATTCGTCGATCAAAAAAGTAAAATCGATATATATATATTTTCCGGAATTCGCCAACCTTAAGGTAAATTTTTCCTCCATACTTGTCATCATAATAGTAGTGATTCTTAATCTCCTTTCACTTTATTTGTACAGCGCAACAAACACACGCACACACGTTTATAATATTTATATGTATAATATGTATATATGTATTTATATATATATTATAGATATTGTTATATACAGAAAACAGAGCCGCTTTACCGTCAGGCTCGACGCGAGTTCGAATGCACGTAACATTAAAATAACCTTATAACTATGATTCATAATTATCATCAAATGATCGCTCCTTCGAATCACCGCTCCTACATTATCAACTTGTTCTCGATTATTTATATATGTATATGTATACACTTGTAGGTTATTAGCTTCAAACGTCAGCTTGTTTATTTACTATCTTTCTTCGACGTCCACGTTCAATAGGAAAGGGACGTAGAACATTTTACTCTCGAGCAGTAGAGCTGCCGCCGATTGTATCTAAAACATATGAAAAATTTCATTTTTATTTCAACCTCGAATGAGTTTGGATTTTTTAGTCTTGAAACTTACTTCGGGCAATCTGGCTTGAAGTTCGTTAAAACGATTGGGCTGCTGCGGAGCACTGTGTTCGAGGTAACTTCGTAAACAGCTCAAATACCGATCGTATATTTGTTCCAACTCTGGCATACCGCATCGTGCTGTGAATTAATTTTCATCGTCATTTTTCGATTTCTCTAGTAAGTTCGTAATTCGTTTAATTAGAATCACGTATGTTCAAAATGTTAGTAACTATGGAAACTTACATTTAGTATCTACGGCAGCATTAACAAAACATTTAATATTATTCCAACAATTGTTACTAAAAATTTTAATTACTCATTTTTTGTGTGAGTTGTAGAAATTTTTATCATCGAAAATCAAAAAAGAAGTTGGTAATAAAATTAATTAGTACATCACAAGTTTAAATTAAAAATGAAGTAGTAACAGACGAGTTTGTTCAGACAAACGCAGTATATGCATACAACAGAATATATATTTATACACATGTCTCACCTTGCTGGAGCAGTATGATGATTTTCATGCAGACGTACTCCTCCATCGTGAGCTTGATCCTCTTGAATACGTGGGTCACGTACGTGATTTTCTCGACCATGAGTCCGACGTCCTGCTTCAGCTGGTCCATCGTGATCGGTCGACCCATCATACTGGTCAGGCACGCCTGCAACCTGTACATATTGTTCGAGACCTGCGAAAATGAAAATCGAAAAATTGTCGTTGTCACTCGAGTGGAACCTTGTACTTTCTAAAAACGATAAATATCTTTCGTATAACCGACCTCCTGACTGTAATCGATGGGTACGCTGTCCGTCCGCATGTCCTCCATCGCCTGAAAGGCCGAGGTTGTGATGACGAGTAGTTCGTGCCACTTGTGCGTGAGCAGTTTCGTGTGCACCTGTACTGGAATCTCGAGATAGAAGGGCAGCCTTTTGGTCCACTGTACGAGCTTGTGAACGATCGTGTCGCCGATCTGGATCAGCTTGTCGTTGAGGTTTGACTTTGGGTCCAGCAGTTCGTCCAAATTCTGGTGAACCAACGGGGATATTTGTAAAGTTTTTACATCGTTTTTGTGACTTTTATGGTGAAAATCGCTTTTTTTTTACTTACGTCGAGTGTGGCTAGCTGCCGGGTCTCGTCGCAGTCCATCAGTATTTGAACCATGGCGAGGGCCTTGTCCAGCGAGATGTTTCGGTCCCGCGAACTACTCACCGCGTTATCTAGCCTCTGACGTAAATGCACCACCTGAGATTTGAAAGCATTTTTTTTTCCTCAAAATACATTTAATTTTTTTTTTTGCATAGCATTAGTAATAGATAAATATTAAAAATGATGTATGGATTGTGAAAACCATTAATGAGTACTGAAATATTGGCGGATCGTGATGATTGACTATACACAATATGGGGAATATAGTTTTTAATTAAAAATCAAGAGTGTGATTATATTTTGTCGATGAGTTTTAAGCTATAGTTTAATTCGTGTTAGATCATTAGTAGGTGTGCCCCTGAGAGGTTTGAAAATTGTTTTAAATCTAAAATGAACATTTTCAATCTGATGCCCGCCTCCAGAGTTAACGTTAAACATGTTAAACGTATAATCGACACTAACACACACACACACATGACCAACTTGACAATCCCTGATGGAAAAATAAACATAGTAAAATTAATGTGTAATTAATAAAATCAACTTCACCTACGATTCGATAAACACGCAACGAATTGCATCGATAGAGAACTGAAAAAAAAGAAATTCACAGGTTGGGCGACGAGCGATGATTCAGACGGAAGAATCGGTAAACAAGAAAATTTCACTCTCGCGTACGTGCGCGACTTTTGTACACATGACAGGCTCCTCCTCCTCGTTTTCGCTCGACGGATAGAGAGACGCAGAGAAAGAAGAGAGGCCGAGAGGTCAGTGTCCCCGCGCGCGAGCCATTTAGCTGCAGACTTTCACCGGGTTACGAAACCGGGGCTGCTGCTGCTGGCTAAGCACAGAACGAGAGCCGTCCTTGGCACCGGTTCGTGCCTACCTTCTAGCCGTGCTATCGCTTTTCTCTTATCCTCCTTCTTCCTCTGGCCGATCGAAGGATGCAAATGTGTGGCTCGCTAACGGCAGTCTTGTTTTCGCTTGTTTGTTTTGGACGATGACGATGATCGTTCGCGATTTTTTTTTTTTTTTTTTTTTTTTTTTTTTTTTTTTTTTTTTTTTAAACAATAGTAATAATAACGCTTTTCCTCATTTTCCTTATAACAGTTCGAGGTTGACTATCTATTAAAAATAGCCGATCGCACATAGACCCGCGTGGCCAAAGTCTCTCCATGCCTTACGAGTCGTGACAAATGTATAAGATAGGAGAACAAGAAATATATTAAAGAAAGTTACAATAATTNTTTTTTTTTTGCTTTTGACGCATCGCAAAGTGAAAGTTTCGACTCGTTTTTACAAACACGCTCGGCTCGGCGGATATTTTGAGCTCTGCCGTTGCTTTTTAGGTGATTTACGGTCTTACCTGCGCGATCAGAAAAGGAAATAATTATCCCGAAATGAATTTATTTTTTTCACGCGCCGAGAGCAATCTTCGGTCCAATCTCGAACTTTCTTTCGCGCGTTTTATGTAACCCTTGAAGACGTAGCTTATATTTTTAGTTCTTTTTCTTTTCCATTTTCATTCTTTCTCGTTGTAACTCCACATCAGGGATTTCTGTTTCTCTCAATTTCAGAGATTAAGATCTAGAAAGTTACAAAAAAAATTTCGTTTCAGCCCAAAGTTCACTTCCTTGTTGATGTAAGGTATACCGATCTTTTCAACTCTAGGTCCCGTCAGTTTTCAGTCACTCCCAGCTTATTTTTCCAAACGCACGATAAAAACAACACCGATCAGCCCCTGCACCAGTGACACTGATTTAGAAGAAAAAAAAAAAAAAAAACAGCTGCTTGGCGCAACTGACGTCAGGTGGAAAGCGGACAGGCGTTTCACTTTTGGCAATGGCCTCTACATGTGGCGTCGGTCAAGCGATTGCCGGTGCCACACTACCGATTCGCGAGTGTATACACGCGCACGCGTTCGTAAGTGTTTTGTGGTAAGCGCGAGTCGAGGTTCGGCAACAAGGAAATCGAAAGTTCAGGCTACTTTTTTTCGCACCGTTGTCCGCGGAGTGAAATCGCTTCGTTGTGGGAGCAGTATCGTACGGAGTTTTTTTGTTTGATTGGTTGTAGCGATTTAAAATTTCGTATGCTAATATCTTTGATGATCAACAAAAATACAAAGGATTGAGATTGTGAAATCCTTTGATTTTTGTTTGTACGGTGTTGAAGTGCGTTATACTAGGGGGTAAGATCAAGGAAATCTTGAACGTGACAACTTGTAAATGGGGAAAAAATTACACCTCGCTCCGAATCGAAATAATTTTGAAAAATTTCTGTTTACAGTAATAAATGATAAAAATTTTATTAAATGAATTGGCAAGGCTAAATACAATCAATGCTTTATCGTCTTTGCTCTTTCTCTCTTTCACCTCATCACTTTGGAACTTCCTCGTGTTCTTCTTCTGATTTTTTATTTATTTGTTTTTTCACTACCCTCGTAATGAAAAATGATTATCTTGTATATTATTAATTAGTCTCTGGTATCGAAACCTACATACATCACACGTACTTAGGTAACAATTACATCCGTCAAAAACGGCTAGTCTATTTACATCATAATCGTCAACTGGGCATCTCTGAGGTACCGCGACGGTGGCACGGAAATGAAAATAAAGATGACAACAGGGGCAATACCACCAACCATCCTGAAAGAAAAATAAACGAAAAATAAATACAAAACAGTCATCCCCATTGGCATTCCTGCTGAAACCGAGTCACACGTACGCTTTCGCAACACAGGAAACGTTACGGCGCAACTCGTAGGTACTGCCAGCAAAATACAGCTTTGCAGCAGCAATGGCAGCAGTTCTCCCTGCCGGGCGCCAGAATGTAAAATTGCAGCCCAAGCCGTGGAGTTCATTCATTCGAGGTGGCTTGTACAGACAAGTACGGCACACACACACACGCACGTATACTTTATCTCGACTCGCGGCCTAACGATCTTACGCAAGGCTCTACTCTACATGTGCGTTGTCTAATCCATGGAAGATACACCTTCCGATGGATTTTTTTTTTTATTTATTTTTTTTCTTTCCCGCGCTCGCGTGTACGGTTCATTATGTGCGTGTGATTGTATCGAATATACCTCTAATGAGCGGGTGCTATAGGTGGTATATAGTTAGATAATTACACGGAGATCCCAATTCGCATGCTCTACAGTAGCAGGTATAGTGTTGGCTATATTGACGTGTAGAGCAACGTAATGGCCTTACTTTCTAAATTTTACGTCACATCCGCGTGATGATTGTGTGCATATAAGTGTACGAATAAATATATCTATACTCACTTCTGAGGGGTTAGTAAGAGCAGTCTTGAGAATAGTCCCGTTCACAAAATGGGTATGATGCACCGGGTGGCTGGTCGCCAGCTGGGCCAGTCCACCGTCGCCCGACGTTATCTTGTGATGGTGGTGATGGTGCTGCTGCAGAAAACTGCTGGCTATGTGCTGCACGTGTTGCTGCTGCTGTTGCTGCTGCTGTTGCTGTTGTTGCTGTTGCTGTTGTTGCTGTTGCTGTTGATGTTGCTGTTGTTGCTGTTGTTGCTGCTGTTGATGAACGGCAACAGCAGCTGCAGCGGCCATGTGCTTGTCCAGCATCGTCGGCGTGAGGTTTGGTTTGTTGCCGGCCGCACCGTTGACACCGGTACTCATGTGTCCCGCCCCTACGCCTGTCCCACCCAAGACACCCATACTGCTCGTGACGTTGCTCTTGTTCGCCTTCTTGTGTTTTTTATACTTGACCTTTTTTTTTACGACAGATAACATAGAAATAATCATTTAAATTAAATAGCAATCAACAAAAAAAACGGCTTTTTTCGGCTAGAGTGCTGTGATCACTACACTTTAGCGCAGGTGGTTGTATAATGTTTTGACTGCTAACCTTGTACAGATTGTAGACAGCACCGGAATTCCGTCCGCCGGGCATCCGATCCTCTCTTACGGCCTGCAGTACCATACCCTGATCCATGCACTTTTTAAATCGGCAGTACTGACACCTGTTCCTCTGCGCTTTCGTGATCTCACAGCCACCTTCAGCCACGCAGGTGTATATCCGCCTGTTTTGTACTGTCCTTTTGAAGAAACCCTTGCAGCTGTGGCAGATAACATATCATTATTATTATTATTATTATTATTATTATTATTATTATTATTATTATTTGCATTTATCAGTCTTTTATGATCACGATCAGTTTACGTACTTGAACGTTTATTTTGATTCAGATTTAGTGGGTAGCTGCATTTTTGGAACATATTATAACGTACTGGCTTGAATTTTGAAAGGTTTAATCGAAAAATAAACAATTTTCATTGCATGATTTTTCGTGTAAAAAGTGAACTCACGAATAAAACTCGTTGACCAGCTTGGTGCTTTACTTTGGATGAGTATATATGTGCATGCCACGAGAAAAACCCTACACGTGATGCGAATCAATGAACAATTAAAATATGAACCAACCCCTCGCACGTGATGATCCCGTAATGAAGGCCGGTCGCCCTGTCCTCGCAGATCATGCAGATCATCGGCGTCTCCTCCTCCTCGTGTTCAGGCTGTTGCACGGGCTGGCCCTGTTGGGCTGTCTGTCCGACCAATCCCTGCTGTCCCAATTGTCCCTCGGCCTTCGACAGACTGCCATTCCTCACCCACGTTTGCTGTTGCTGCTGCTGTTGCTGCGAACCTGAGGCCGTGAGGTTTAGCGCCTGTATTTGCTGGGAGGCCGGCAGTTGAGTTATGTCGCCCGCCCAGAGCCTCTCCATGTTGAGCAGGGGCACGGGAGGCGCGGTGTGCGACGCCGAACTCACTGGCGGCTTCACTGTAAGTCCAAGCGTGTAAGATTGCACGTGTCAAGCGTGCAGTGTAGGCATTTATATTTTTCACAAAATGCATGGCTATACATGTTAAGTGTGTGCGTGTTAATGAGCTTTCGTGAGACAACCAAATGATCAAATAAGTGTTAATAAATCAGTTCGATTGTAAATCTAACTATGAGCAACACTATACACAATGTAAAGCGTGTTGAAAATGTTTCCACACAAATATCTCAAAATGCTCTTGTTTCTTGAAATTCTCGTACCATTGGATTCAATGTTGTTTAATCCAATTAATCTTGCAGAATTTTAAAAAGCCTCATCATGAAAATTTAAATGTGATCTACTGTACAAGCTTAAACTTCAAAAAGAAAGTATCTTTATCAAATTGGTTTATTAACGAAAAATGAAGAGCTATTAATATAGTTTTGAGAAACTGGCAGAAGTTAGTTTGTGCGCTTAAATCACCATTTTGTCATCGGCTGTTATAAATCGTACGTGACAAAATGGCGTACTTTTAAGTTACAAAAGACGATTATTTATTCGGATTTTTTTTTTTAGCACATGGCGTAAGGGTAAGGTCTAAAAAAAATCGAAATCGAGGTAAAGCGAGGTACGGCGCCTTAAACACGGGAAATTTACGAAAAATGAGGATTACACACTTGGATTGACAGTGTTGGCTCTCGATTCCTGGCCGAGATTCAGGAGCAGCTGGGCGGCCGCCGACTCCTCGCTCGACGAGCACGAGGTCGAGGCCAGCGCGGGCGTCGTCCAGGGGGCTGGCGAGCCCGGCGTCGACGCGCTCGGAAGCTCGGTCGCCGGTACCGACCAGATCATCGTCCGCACTCCGCCGACCTCGCCCATCATCACCGTGGGTGGTGGCCGTGTTGGCGCTGCTGGGACCGATCGTTGAGCCGGCGGCTTCATACCCTCGCCGCCACTGCCAGCACTGCCGCCGCCTGACGACAGAAGGCCGAACAGGACTTTTTTTGGTGGTTTTTTAAATTGCTCCTTCGCTTGTGTTGTTGTGGGTTTTTTTTTTTTTTTTTTTTGGGGGGGGGGGGGGGGGGGGGGGGTTTTTTTTTTTGCGAAAGCTATAGGTGGTATATAGTTAGATAATTACACGGAGATCCCAATTCGCATGCTCTACAGTAGCAGGTATAGTGTTGGCTATATNTTTTTTTTTTTTTTTTTTTGGGGGGGGGTGGGGGCAGGTAGGGTTATTTTTTATGCGCGAAAATGAAAAGTTGAGGGGATCAAAAATATCTACTTTCGTAATGCGATACATTTCATTGATACAATACAGTTTCGTTTATTGTGAATGAAGCAATCGTTCACTCAGCGAAACCCAACAACATAAATATGTCTTTAGTAGACGATTTTTTTTTTCACGAATTTTCAATGAATACTGTGCATCAGCTAGAAAAAATTAAATTACTTATTATATTGAATTTCGCTGGATTCAACGTTTTGCGAAGAATAAAAAAAATTAATTTTCGTAGAAATAGATCGCATTGCGATGGTCTGTGCGATTAATAAAAAAGCTGTTCTCTAGTATCAATGAAATAATCAATGGCGTTCAACACCAAATTGAATTTCGAACTGAAAGGGTAATCTTTTGCAAGAGTAGTAATGATAACAAAAGAAAATGAAGAAAAGACTTCAACTCACCACTGTTGGTATTGGCAGTGGAGACATTCGTGACAACAGCAGTGGCGGCGCTAGTGCCATTGTTGTTATTACTGTTGTTGTTGTTGTTATTGTTGTTGCTGTTGTTGTTGTTGTTGTTGTTGTTGTTGTTGCCGTTATTGCTGCCGGTCACGTTGGCGTTGGCCGCCGCGACTGCTGCCACTGCCGCTGCGGCAGCAGCCCCGTTGTTGCCGGTTACGTAGCTACTGATGACGCCGTTGAGTAGCCTCTGGTTCGCGTAGCCCGAGACGCTGGACATCTGCGGCCAGAGTGGCAGGGGATTCAGCAGATGCGGCGGTAGCGCCGGCCCCCTCGACCTTGGCAACGTATGCTGGGGCGAGTGCTGCTGCTGCTGCTGCTGCTGTTGCTGATGATTAGGACTGGGACTGGCCTGGTGGTACTGGGCCGAGGGACTGCCTCTGTGCACTATCGACTGCACGCAGTTGTTGTTTTCCGGGCGTGAGTTACTACTACTGTTGCTGATGCTGCTGCTGTTGCTGCTGCTAGTGTTGTTGTTCGCGATAGTGGCGTTGCTGTTGTTGGCGTTTCCGTGATTGGCGTTGCCAATGTTGTTGGCGTTGGAGTTGTTCGCGTTGTTTGGGGTAATGTGGCCACCTCCACCGCCGTCGAAGACAGAGTTGCCGGACTCTTCTTTGGATTGGGCGGAGCTGAGGTTGCGCTCGGACGCGTCGTTGCTCCGGCTCGTCACCTGCTCCTGGGGCAGCGGAGTCGACGGCGTACTCGAGACTGCCTGTGCGGGCGAGTGTGGTGGCGATCTGGGACACGAAAAAATCCAATGACACGAAATTCCTTACTCTCGTAATAATTAGCCAACAATGGCCCGAATCCTCTTACCTCGTGGGCGCTGGTGTGTAGGATCTCCGCTGCTGTTGTTGATGCTGCTGATGGTGGTGGTGGTGGTGGTGATGCTGGTGGTGATGGTTGTCAGCCTGTTTGGCAACGCTGCTCTGCTGGTTCAGTCTAGGAGCAGCCAGATCGGGAAACACCGAGTCCGGCGAGGCGCGCTCCGTTGCCGAATCCTGCGCTTGGTGCTGCTGCTGCTGCTGTTGTTGTTTGTTCAACGCCTGCTGCTGGTGATGAGCCTGCGCTTGAGCGTTGCGCTGGAGACATATGTCGCGAGTTCCGGGGCTCGGGCTACCGCGTAGGTACTCCGACTTGACTTTGACGATCGGGCAGCCCGGCGAGCCCGGCATGTTGGCGTCCGGCGAGGATGTCGAGGTGTCAGCGCCCACGCTCTCCCCTGGAGCAGGAAAGTTTAGTGGTGAAGGCGAGGCCTCCTGTGGCTGCAGCCCCAGCGGCGAGTCCGCCGAGGACACCGGCGAGTCTGAGGGATCATTAGCATTATATCGCACGTGTTTTAGAATTAGTTTAACCCCCTAATGTCTCTTTTTTTTCCCCCAGTAGTTGTGCGGAATTTCAGGAATGTCGATTCGTAAACAATATTATTCTCATTGAGAAACGATTCGGAGTGGACTCTTTCTTTCAAGCTAAACAGGTGGTAAGCTCAATGAGGCCATCGGTGCTCGCGAGAACAGCAACGTTAAAAAAAAAATATATATATATATATATATAATCGCTGGATCGACAAAAAAACATGAGACGCATACCGTTTCGATCGCTGGCATAAAAAGTTCAACGATCCCAGCCGCGAGGATGATGCACTAAGCGTAGCGCATTTAACAGCCACAGCGCGCGTGTGCGATCGAAAACTGAATTCTAGGGCTCCGTAAACACGCGATCTTTGCATATATGCTGGGTGCAGTTTACGTGTGCTATGTTTGCGTTAGTCGCTTGATGGCTGTTTGTACTATTAGCGCGTAACCGGGTTTTACGTCCGCGCCACGTAATTTTTATACTTTTTTACTTTATTATTTATAAGTCAAGAGTGGAGATGTTGCACACGTGCCCATTAATTACAGATTTATTATATTTCATGCGAATAAGATTAGGTTGGCCTATTACTGGTTATAATAATAATTATATATATGATCGATGGTGCAGTTGAATGTTGATATGAATGCCAGTACAGCGATCACTGCGTCAATAATAGGCAAATACAAATTCCGCGCTTGATTTATTGGAAACAGACGACGTTTTCGATGACTCACGTTATTAGAGTTTTAATAGTTTATCGTCGCAGTATTAATGTATAAAGACAACCCTACGTATACTGTTGTCCTTGAAAGAAAAAAAAAAAAAAAAAAAAAAAAAAAGAAAACAAGTTGCGCAGGTGTGAGCAAGACCGCGGTATTCGCATCCAAAAGAAAATTCCTACTCGCTCGCGGTCGAGCTAAGCGTCGTCGTAGTCGTTGGCCTGTGTGTAGGTCAAGGAAGGAATGTAGCTGACACAAGGCCGATCGGGGATCACATGCGCGCGCGCGCACGACTTTTATTCACTAGAGAGACTAGGATGATATGTTTATTCTCCCGCTTGTGTGTAGCTATTAATAGCCAGTGGACCCGCTGCTCTTTGTGACGCGCGCAAGGGAAAATTGATTTTGTTTCATTAGTTTTTGAAGGGTCTTACCAGTATTTTACCTAATGTATTTATATACACCATAGCTCGCGAGTGAACTGAGATTAGACCGGGGGTGTTTCAAAAGTTATTATCATTCGGAAAAATGGATAGAATCTTCTTGGGTCGGTGGAATCTCGATTGGTTTCACCACTATTTTTATTATGTTCGACGCTTGTTTTCATCTCAAATTTTTCGATGCCCCTACATTAATTTTTCGTTTCAAAGGTCAAACTTGATTTACTCGTGGTTTCAGTAGATCATGTCCGTAGATAGTCAGACGCACTTAATCTCACAGAGCAGTGATTACTCGTAAAATTCAAAACAATTATTTAACATGATTTCTGAATCGACGAATAAATCTAAACCAAATCCAAGCAGGAAAATCCACTGTCAGTCATCGCTCGTAAGAAACAGTACGAAACAACCGTGCAAACACTACTAGTATCGTCATCCGCGCGAGCGACGTGGCACGGTAGCGAGGGATGGAGGTGGGAATGGATAATCCAAGCTCGCGTTGACTCGTTCATCATTTAGCCGGTATATATGCCCGCGGTTGCATCGTTGTAGCGCTACGGAAATGCAGGCGGCCGCTCGCTGGCTCGCTCGCCTCGGTGCGTGTCGTTGAACTCGCGCAGGCGTCGAGGCCGGCCTGAAAGGACACTCGTTTTCTGCGCGCCTTCGCTTTTTTTCCTCCTCCTTCTCTTTGACGATTGCTCTGGTGTGTGTCTGTGTTCGATTGCGAGCCGTGCGAGCGTCTTGACACGCGGTTATGTTGTGTTGAGTTGTCGATTTAAATTCGGATGAGGAGGTTCTTTTTTTTTTTTTTTTTTTTTTTTTTTTATACATTCAGATTTGATGGACTGGTTTGGTTTTTTTAGAATTCAATTTTATTACTGTATGGCATAAAGTATAGTGGCATTGATATTTGTCGAAGAAGAGTGAAGGTTTCGCGATAAAGCGTACGAGTCTTACGGAAGCATAATTATTTATTGTTACCTTGAATTTATCGTCTATTATGATGTACAAATACTACTTTATACTGTGTATACAGATAAGTTTGAATAAATTACAATACAGCCGCAAAATTTGATTTTCAGGCCACGTCTGACCAAAATCTATCCATACTACTTAAACTCGTAAGACGGCAATTTTTGCCTTTTACAGGACTTTAATTTTTGATTTCGTGAAATATCTATCTTATTTCATTTATCTTTAATGACCTTTTGTACATTGCAATAAATAATTTTTATTTTTCAAACGTGAAAATTAATAAAGCAGTTGAAAAAAAACGTGCTTTAAAAGTTCGGTTAGCGCTGAGAAATTTTTTCCACATCAGTATCTTAAACATTGACTTGAAAAATATTCTACGACCCAGATGTTCTCTATTACAGTGAGCAGTTAAAACATTACTAGAATCAAAGAGAAAATACTATTTTAATCGTCATTCCACGATTTTAAAGTAACATCCGCAGACGTCGGAATTCTAAAAAAATCATCAGTTGGTGGAAAAAAAAAATTGAAAGCTATTTTCGTACGGCATAATTAATTTGGACTAGATGGTACAGCATTGATTTCAGTTTCGGCAATGGCGTCCGTTTTCAACTATAATATGTTCCTTTGTTTCTTGGGAAATAGATAGCAGAGAACTAATTGACTTGAAACAAAAGCTTAATTCGTATTTTTAAAGAAAATACCTGGATAAATTTTTTTATTGCATTTCAACCCAGGAAATTCAAAAATAATTGAATGAGAATCCAAAATATGCTGTCAAAAATATAAAAATAAAGGCTCAGTCGGAAGTTGCGAGTTATTTATGTTTGGATTTACAAAAAGGTAATAATCTTAGATTGACAAAAGTTTGTGCTCTTTTTCTCAAACTTGATTTTTCCGTCATTTTAGTCTGGATCAGTATTTTTACTATCAGCAAAGCTTCAATACAAGCTCGTTCTCATTACTTTTGGTTGCTTCTTTGAAAAAATGAATTTTGTGGATTGAGTTATGAGGGATGGATATGGAATCTTTTTTTAAGGAAACACAGTCAAAAACGCGCATTTTAGATTGAGCTATAAACAATCAACTGCTGCTAAACTGAAAATTATTTTATCTGCTAGGTGAGACATAAAATAATAATTCGATCATTTTCAGTTCCATCAATTATAAAGAATATGCGTGGCATATCAGAGAGTTTATTATCTCGTGAGTGTGTGTATGTCTAAATTTACGCTACCGAAACAATAGACGCATTGACTGACGTTTATTATTCACGTATGTGCTGTCACTCAATGGAGATTCCAGTATTCTCATCTGCTCTTCGTTTTTACCAATAACATATGCACGATAAATCACATTGCTTCCGTAAGGTTAAAACTTTTGCGATTTTCCGCACAACTCCTCGCATTAGTGCAGTCCGCGAAATCCCGTTATGCAAGGTAAGCACTTTTGCCCACAACCGGTAGACATGTCGGTTCTAATATGACACTATGTGCCTTTGTTTTACATAACGTGACTACTACGACGAGTTGGGTCATTACATAATGGGAAAGTGCAATCACAGTTGCTGGATTATTCGGGGTACCTGTAGCCACTGTATATTTACGTCTGCTTTATTGAATTCGATTCTGATAGAAAGTTCTTTTTTCATTGGAAAGTCATGATTACGTTTGCAAGAATTTAGTCAAATTCTCGTTTGTATATAAATAAAAGTGTTCCAATCGAGTTCACTGCGTTAAGTAATAAACTTGGCATTTAAATTTACATCGGTTATATTGCGCCATGACTGCAGTTTTCCCGAATTAAATTTTTATTATTCCTTTTAATATTTAGTAAACCACCGTCTAGTACCATGAACGAAACCGTCAAGCATGTGATTCCTTGCCACTCTCAAATGACCATTGTAAGTCCCCATCAAAATTCGTATATACTCAACCCGTTCTCATCAAACTTGTTGATCGATTACCAAAGAATACGTTAACTGTTATTTCTACTTCCTACAGTCTATATGTATAATGGTGGCAATATCTAGTGAACCGGCTTATTTCTCCCCAGCACAGATTAGCAACTTTCGACCCAGTAAATGCGGTTATTCGCTCTCGAACGTGCACGTTTAGGACTAACGTTGTTACCTATTTCCGATGGGGAATAATTTGCTCGTTAACTGTTGTTGAAAAATACTGTTTTCAATTTCAATCCAATTATTCGCAGACATTTCACCTATATTTACACAATAATTTCGTATCAAATTCGATTTTTCATAAATTTTTGTGACTAATTTTTTTAAGACGGCATATACTTTATTTATGGCGATGAGGAGATAGTAATAATGTAATCACGTCTTTATTGAACTTATTTTATAACCTATTATGATGAAATCGGAATATGATGGGATCTACGCGTTTTAAATAGTCAAAAAGCCGAAAACGCGTTTTTAAGTAGTACAGGTCAATATTTGGTCATCCGATGAATTTTCAACGATTGAGTTTATCGGTTTCGAATCCACATTCCGTACTTTTCCCCATAATTACTAATCAAGTCACTGTCTAGAAGATTAATATCCGTGTAGATGTAAATGTTTGTTTTGCTTTATTTAAAACTAAGAAAATTCAGTTACAAAATCCGAAACATTTCTTATTTTGATGAATATCTTGTTTGTTAAAATAAGTCGAGAATAAGTAACTAAAAGTTGTAACTTACCATCCGAACTGCATCGGGAATCTACTTTTCTCCTTTTCAACTTGAGGTCTTGAAACAAGCTCATGTTGTCTAGCTCACACGGGCTGCTCGTAAGGGTCATAATTCCTGAAACAAAGAAAAAATAAAACGATTAACTCCACCGATTTTTCAACATCATGTTTTTTGCTTTAGTTTTGAACTTGGCTTGTAAAAAATTAAAGATTACAGTACAGATGTATATTGTTTTGTAGACATTTAAAAATTATAGGGAAGGTAATAATAAAAAAAAAAAAAAAAAAAAACGGGGTACGTTGAATTGACGCAATTGAATGCGGCAGTCAGAGCGTTCCGGAAAATGCAGGATCAAGCTGAGCGTTTCTGAGAACAAATGAACAAACTACTAGAGATCGTTGAGGAGATGTAAAGTTGTACGAAGGCCCACTTGCAAATAAGGCGTCACACTTTAATTATTTTACGACAGATCGTCTCGTTTATTGAACGATTGACGGTACTTTTTTTTTTACCGTATCAGTAATTTATACATGTTTCCCTATATCTTCAAACCTAATTTAGTTGGCGTGAAAACAATGTGCCATCCTATCGAAATCGTTGTAATCAGAGTTGCTATACGTAAAATGTATTCCCCTAGCTCTGCCCTACTAAGGAAAAGTGAGCGCCACCGCGTCGGCTTTCGCAGATAAGATAAAGAGAGGCTAGCGCCGAAATACTTGTATACGTGCATGTGTATGTTTAAAACGGCACTTGGAAGGTCCCAATATTCGCGACCGACAACAACAGAGAGTCACTCGACTCTTTCGCCTTGACACGCAAAACTTGATAATGCACATGCACGTATATATGCGCGTTTGATAAAGCTAAATTGTACGTACATTGCAACGATATCGGAGCACAAGATATACAGAGACGTATACAAGTTTGAAAGACGTCGGTGCCGAGCAGTTTTCTTGAAAGAAGTCTTAAAAACGAAAAAAAAAAAAAAAAAAAAAAAAAAAAAAAAAAAAAAAACACGATTATGCCGCGTCTAGAGAGTCGGTGTCAAAGAAGGGGGGAGGAGAAACAAACGAGACGGCCTTAACCTCGTATGAGGTACCTGTTTGTGTATCTACGTGTACGCGTAAACGTTGCGCGTTACGTAAACGCGGACGGACGCTTTTTGATGCAAACGGAAAATTGAAAATTTTTTTCCTTGTTGTGTGTTGTTGCCTGTTTTTCCCCTTTGGTACTTGAGAATCGTACGTGCAGATTTAACACTTTCTGTATATTATTTTTAATTGCGGCCGCATCTTTAACTGAGAATTAAGTTACGTGATTTCTTGTGGTTAAATAAAATTCGGTACTCTTGATGTACCTCGTAATTTTCTTTTGAAATTTAAAAGTTTGTGTACGAAATATAACCATGGTAAAAAGTATTTTTTCATGTGCATTGAAATAATGGCTCTCAAATATCCTTTTAAACATAAAAATTGCAAAAAAAAAAAACTAATATCATTTTACAGTAGTTGAAATTCATAAAAATTGACTCGTACCTGCATTCATCTTGTCATCATCTATTTTGAAAAAATTCCAATATTTTTCATTGTCCCAAAACGGTATGCATGTATGCCAAATAATTCGTTCTCCTAAAATAGCCTTTTCGTGACTACGCAAGGTGAAAATCACAAAGAAGTGTAAAAAAAAACATGAATCGTCATCGTAAGCGCTATACCTTCGAGCTCGTGGCTAGGAATTTAATACGCGAGCAAAAAAGAAAAGAAAAAAAATGTACGTTTTCGTTTTCTCTTCCATACTCGCATACATCATAATAACAGAGGCAAGCGTTCAAGGCCCGTTACGCGCGCTCGCTCGAGTGCCACCCATAGGATACGCATGTGTATTATATGTATTCGCGCTCGAATCACGATTCCCCGGTACACCCATTGCAAAACGCTCCGTCTATTTTGATTGAGCTAATTGGGGTTTAAAAGAGAGAGAGAGGGAGGGGTAAAGTTTTAAGTGTATAGTGCGTACGCGCGTGAAAGTGCGAGTACTTTTATTTCGGTCCGTGACCGCGGGGCAGAGAGAAACGACACGGACAAGTGCTTGAATTTCGTGAGGATCGAGAATGTTCTACTTTCAATGGGAGTCATTTGTGCGAGAGCTTGCTAAATCCTCGGGGCTACTCAAAGTACGCCGTTCTCTTCTTACGCACGGTATTTATCGGATTTTTTTGTTTCGCGATTGCCTGGGCAATTCGTTTTTTTATTTGTTTCAAGTTGTCTTACTCTGTGGTGTAATGAAAGCTGCCGGTGAACTGGCAGATATTGAAACACTATTGATCTCACCGTCGAGTCAATGGCCTGTGTTATCAAATCAATAAGAGTTTGCACTCGATGTTTTTTTTTTTTTTTTTTCTTTAATCGAGTTTCAATTAAAATAATATGGCCCGTCAGTCTTATACAAGTTAATAATACTGAACAATGAATATCCCTTTTGACAAATCATGATGGATCTAGAAAAAATTTCCCCAAGCCGACTAGTGAAAAATTGTAAATAATCGTTCCGGTACGTATACTTGTCGCTATATAAAAATTCGTTTGGCAGCTGAGTCTTCTCATATTTCGCGCGACCAAAAAGTACAGGCGCATCGTCAAAGTGAGCAAGCACAGGCTTGCGATCGAAAATCCGGCAGATGTCGCGGGTGCAAGCGGGCACAACCTCCACCGTCGCGTGTACACACGTGTGCGCGAGAGTGAGGCATACTCCTCCTCCACCACCTCTCCTCGGCATTCCCCTCTTCTTCTCGTCGTCGTCAACAGTGGAGCAGCGTCGGCAGTGCCGTGTATACACTGCACACGTACAGCGATATCGACGCGCAGCCGCTGTTGCAAAAAGAGAGGGAGGGAACTGCCGGCTCTGTTGCTGCTACTCGGGGTCCTTGCTCCCCGAGCCCGTATATGGGTCAGCAGTCTCACACACGCCAGAGCTGCAGAGCGCGCGTTCTCTTGCGTAACCAATGCATGCATGCGCCGCCAGTCAGCCGTGTAGCAACTACCTCTCTCTCTTTCTCGTGCACCGCGCTATTATACATATGTATATATAGTGTGTACGCGAGCTTTCTGGCTTCCCTCTTCAGGGTTCGCTGTGCATGCGTGAGCGGTGCGGGAAGAAGAGACGCGCGTTGGAGGAGGCGAGCTTCGTGGAGCATCGATAATCGACTTATCTGGTGCCCCGATGCTGCCGCCACTACTTGTCTTTGCTCGGCTCTTTTTTTTCCACCCCTACTCTCTAATGAACTCTTTTGTTTTCTCGATCCAATGTTCCATTGTGTTTTCAAATTTCACGCGACACGGCTGGAGTCTTCGAGGATTTCGGTTTGGTCGAGCTTGCCACGACGAAAGAAAGAAAAAACATATAGACGCATTTCAAAATGAGCTTGTTTCGTATCGTTTGATAAATAAATTGCGATTTGGAATTTTTAACGATGCGTCTTGAAAAACAAAATAACTCCCACATGTGTCTATTTTTTGTCTCCTCGTCGATCGTTTAAGTATTTCCTCAAAACTTTTCGTGCGTGATGTCTCTTTTCACTTAGCCCTACCATGATGCCCCTCCTTTAGTTTTTTTTTTTTTTTTTTTTTTTTAAGCTTCAATAGCCCCTACACGTACGTGCGTACACCAAAAAAGGGGGATAGTAGTAACAATAACAGCAGCAGCAGCAGCTCCTTCGTTGAATCATCGTTTTGTATGCAAATGGCGTGTCTGCACTTTCGTCCCTCCCTTCTTCCCCAACTTTTGAGAAAGTGTGTCTTTAGGTGTAAAATAAAAAAAAAAAAAAAAAATAAAAAAACATGACTCATTAAAGGACGAGTTTCCTTGACAATATTATTATATTTATGATATTTTCGAGTAGTGGCTGTACTTTATCGGAAAGATTTTACGTAACGATTTCCGAGGGAGAGAGCCAAGACGAGCTGACAGTTTGTGGGGGGAAACGCAATTTTTGGAGAAACTTTATTCGCCCAGCGACAGCTGGAGATCGGCAGGACTCGGAAGCGCGCGTTCGTTTGTTTTGATGATTTTTGAAAGCAATGGCTCTCTCTTTTTCTTAATGCTTTTGCGTGCTATCGAATAGTGAGCGCTGATAATTACGTAACTAGTTTTCTTTCTTTTTTACCTTTTGTTTAGAGATCTTTGGTGATAATCTGATGATTTTAATGGTTTACCGGCTACTTTTTGATATTTTTAAGTGACGAAGTGCAAAAAAATATCCGATTATTATTATTACCATTTTAGTTAATAAAATTTCAAAGGCATTAAAATTATAGTTCGTTTTTTTGATTACACACAATTTTAAAAGAGCGTGTAAAACACTTAAACATTAACACTACAGTAGTCTGATATCGTTAAGGGCTTCAGTTTTTCGGGCGAATAGCCCGAGGCAATATACGTATACATATACATGTCATCGTTTTATACGAGATGTTACGTAAAAGAGTCTGTCTTCCCTCGCGCTTCAAAGAGATCCCCTTTCTTTCTACTTTCACGGCTTCCGAAAGATGTTCTTCCCTTTTTTTTCACTTCCTTCCGAGCGTCAAAAGCTCTCTCGTAATATTTAAGTTTCTCGTGTGTTTAAATTTTTCTGAACAACGTGGTATCTATCATCATCATCAAGAATTAGTCCTGTATTTTCGCGTGTCCAGCCATGGGTGAACAGAAAGTAATACTAAACAACAGATCCAGTAGCCCCCGAATTCCACAGTAATTTCTTCCTTTCGAGTAACGTCACGCCAGTCCCCGTCCACTAAAAGGATCGAGAGAGATACGAGAAGATCGAGAGTCTGAGAAAAGCGAAAGGCTTTACCGTAAAGCAACGCAAGTGTACATACGTACAATAGCAGGAAGAAGAAGAAAACGAAACCACAGCGCACGACATCTGTGTGCATAACAGGGGCTCCACGGAGCAGGAAGAGATCCCATATACGAGCTGCGGCGAGCGCAACGGGTTCTCTTTTCGTTTTCTTTTACCCCTTGCGCCTACAACATACTCCTTGTCTCTCCCCCCCCTCTCTCTTCTCTTCTTTGAGCTCACCATATTGTATCGTGCTCCCCTTTCAGTGTGTGCATGCATGGAATTGAAAAAAAAAAGAAAAAAAAAGTAGGTGATCCCCGCAAGTATAAGTAGGTATACGTGTGCACAAGCAGTACAGTACAGCAGACGCCGAGTATGGTCGGGAGAAGGAGGAGGATTTACCGCTACACGCGCGCGACGGTGAAAGTGACTCTCCCACGCCGCGACATCCTAGTTCTCTCCCTCTTCGTATCTACATGTGCTCCGTGTGCTTTTGTGTCTGTGCATACCAGTGTGTAACGCATGTAAAATATGGCTTCTCTACAGCGATCTTCCGGTTTTTTTTTTTTTTTGTTTTGCTCTCGAATTGTCGTGTCGCGCGCGCGTACTACACAATATCCTCTCTTCATTCATTCCCGTAGGACTCGGCGTGTTCTTTGACCCCACAGCCAAGACAGCCTCTATTAATACCCACTGCACGACTATTCCCGTTCCCCGTTGTACACAACAGCGCACGCGAGCTTGTTAACACACGGCCGCCGATTTTCTGCCCCCACCCCGCCCACGTGCCTATTTTTGCCGCACGCACAACGTATTAATTGCCGTCACGACAGTCGGCCCACGCTGATGTAACGACAAACCTGATGCCCTTATTTAGAACCGCGTACAGAAGGCGCGCAAAAGTCGCCGTCGCTAATGGGCGCAGGCGGGAAAACTCTTTGTTCCTCCCCCGCGAGCGGATTGGGCTCGCGAGGCGCTTCCTGCACTGGCCAAACAGCTGAGAGAAAGAGGATTCAGTCTGATTACGCGGGGAAAGTGAGCGCGGCTTTTCGCGACGAGTCCGTTTGTTCGATCGCTAGAAATCCTCTCGGCGACCGAGTGTATGGGTGTGTGTGCAGGTACAAAGGCTCGTTTTGTCCCCTCGGCTCAGAGCTCTCTTCCTCGGCCCCCTTTTTCGCGGTTCTGGACGGCATTGTTCGAGTCATCGAGGGCCGCTCCGTGGATTTTGCGCTGACATGGATTTTCGCTCGTTTTGTCTTGGGTATATATTATATATCGTGTGCTCTCCGATACCTGCCAAAAGTGTGTTATTTGACTCTTGTACTTTCGGGTTACCAAACACATTGGGTATGATGTTTGTTTTCTTAGACGAAGAAGAAGGGGAGAAGAACAAAAAAAATACGATTCCCGTGGTCTTTGACCCCTGACGTGTTTTCGCTCGCTCGGCAAACAGACGCTGCCAATAATAGAAGCGGAGAAATTTCGTTCGCTACGCGCCCACGGGAGAGCCTCATTGTTTTCGAAAGTGGGCGATTCTCGTAATGACGGCTCGTTAAACCCAAGCGAAGCGAAGAGCCGATTACACGCGGGTCGTAGGTCCCGTTGAATTTTTTATTTTATTTTATTTTTTATTTTTTTTTTTTTTTTGGCGAAAAACTCTATATTTTTCGTTTGAGTCGTTTGGTTTTCGCGATAAATTGACGGGGCAAAATGATGGACGAGGAACTCCACGTGTACACGTAACTCTCTGGGTGTGCAGCTGCTGCAAAAAATAAAGGATTAATAGTACAGCTCGCGGGTAACCGGTTGGTTACGCGACGCGTCCATGTAACTGTACCCTAGCAAATCTCGAATCGGCGCGGTTGCGATCGAAGAAATGCTAGGGAGAAGCAAAAAAAAAAAGAGAAAGGACAAGATGCTGATTGCTCTCTCTCTCTCTCTACTCTCGATGCTTTTTCCTTCGCCCAGTGTTTCGATATCAAAATGGAGAGATATGGCAAGAGGGAGGGCGAGGAGGGTGCCGCGAGTGAGAGCCGCGACGACAGGCGCTCGCGGGGCCGTTGAACTCTTTTGCAGTGAAAGTTTCCTATTATACACCGTGCTGCTCTTCTTGTGGCCTTACCTTACTCCCTCCCCCCTCCCCTCCCTCTTCTGCAACTCTTTCTCTCTATCTGTATATCTATGAGCCTACGTGATGTACCTACGCACACTGGCGTATGGTATATAGGTGTATGGTGGGTCCCGTATGTGTTACGTTGTGTCATCAGGCGGTCCCGCTTACTTTTCTCCTCCCATTGCTGCTGCTGGTTCTCTTTTCTATTGTGACCTAGACTTCTCTTGCGAGCACCGAGGTACGTGCATTGTTGCTGCTCCCCCATGGAGTTGAGTATATATATATATATATATTTTTTTTTTTTTTGCAAAACAAGACGCGTACTCGCTCACGTATGTCATGCGGGATGAGAGGATATTGTATTATTTCAATTTTTCTTCTCTTAGGTCGTGGAGGAGATAGCTCTTGCGCGTTTTTCGTCTGTTCGTGTATATTGTTTACATAATTCCAATTGAATATCTGCTTCGCGTTCATGTGGTTTTGACGGGAGTTTTTGTACGTAGGAAGCTTCGACGGGAATGAGAGAAATATTATGGCATCTCTTGTACTGTATCCGTGCGAAACAGAATTTAAAATAGTTAAAGCTGGTCCCGAAAAATTTTTCCAATCCCAAGGGTCTCGTTATCTACATTTTTTTGCGATGTAGCGAGGTTTTTTGTTGTTTTAAACGAAGTATCAGTATGGCCAGGACTTTTCATTGTTTCAAAAGAAATTTTCTAACGATCCCGATAACAATACTTTACTATTATTGATATTGGAAAGTGTAGGTTCATCAGGGATATTGAGTCTTTGAAAATAATCATGATAGTAATAATCATACGTAATGTATAATTTTTTTACTTGAAGGTGAATAACTACGTTATATTTGCGATGTCACAAAAATTTTCATAAATCTAGGACATAGCAAAAATATTTCTTAACTTTGTTTTTTTTTTTTAATAAAAATAAAAGTAAAATATTTGTAGTAGCGCGCATCACGAATCATATGAGTTAAAAGGTGAATATTTTTATTGTAACGATGTGACAATATCACGCTATCATTGACTACCAAATGGCTCTTTCGTGCTCACCAAAAGTGTGTATGTGTTTCTGATTCATTGATTTGATTGTCGAGTTTTTAATGCCGTCACCGTTCCTTTATCTTTTTTCTCTTTTTCTTTCAACCTCCTTTTGACTATTTATATGAAAAAAAAAAAAATTTTTTGTTCAATTTACCGTAGATTTGCATAATGATTAATTATCATGACACTGTATGATGTACATGCATACGTGTTCATACTTTCCTTCCAAGCAACAATAAAGAAAACGAAGAAGCAGGAAAATAATCAGCTAGATAATTTAATAACTAGGATCGATAAGTCATTGTACACTATAATGAACAACTTGCAGGATATGATGAGTTTGTTTATGAAATCGAAATCAATATGGGATGTGATGTACTGAAAAAATCGGGACAAAAAGGTTGTTCAAAAAACGTAAATGATAAAAAAAAAAAATAAATAAATAAACAAATTGGCTTCTGAAATTGAATCCCCATCACAGTTCGCGTATACACCTGCAGCACCGCTTTCGTACACAGACCAAACCAGTGTCGTCCGCAGTAGCAGCAGACTGCCAACTGCAATTGCACGTATAGCGCATAGCGTCGCTTGCAATTAGCGGAGCGTGCAATTGTGAAATCGACGCCTATGTTATTGACCCGAAGGCCGTTGCTGCTGCACCTCGCGAGCCGTCAACTTCGGTCGATCACGATCACTGAGTTTGTGTACGTGTGTGTGAGTACGTGTAATATACACCGTGTGCCAGTGCGGTATTAGACACACGCCAACGACATTGTTATAAAGCCAGTCGGAGTCAATAGCCTCTCTGAATGTTACAGTAGCAGCAGCAGTAGCGAACGCTTGAGCAATTAGAAATGCTCTTGAGATTTGCCAATGTATCCAAAGTTAGAGAGAGAGAGAGACTGCCTTTGTTTCTTTACTCGGTTGTGTCAGGTGAGCCACAGGAGTATATTATACACGTATACGTGAAAGGATGCTTTTCTGATTTGGGAAATCATCCGAGTTGAGGTACATGGTATGGAAATTTTGTTTCTGGCATCTTTTTACGTCTTTCTTTCTTTCTTTCTAATGGAAACCACAAGAGAAAGGACTCTCTCTCTCTCTCTCTCTCTCTTCGTATGTCGAAGGTATCGCATCTTTAGAGCTTCCTCGTCGATGTAAACAGTGACGAAAGACCGGGAAGTGATGATTTTCGACGACAAAAATAGTGAAACCGGCCATCGCCTGATGTACCACACCGTAATTCATTATCATCGTCACGTGCTCCTTACGAAAGTTGGTCCCTAACTTCTGGCCATGTTCACGGAATACATTCCACGAGAAAGCCATGTAGGTACAAGCATCAAAATTCATCGAGTACCCATAATGTTGATAATTAATATATACGAGCACAATTTCCCACTAATGGCATACGTAACGCGACCGTAAACTTATCCATCAGTTACCAAACATTTTTTTATCTCCCCGTTACACCAAAGAAAGAAAAAACAACCAGAATATAAAAAAGATAACGAAAGAAAGAAAGAAAGAAAAAAAAAAGGTACAATCTTATCGCAGATATGGGTGCTCTAGTTCTCTGATCGCAGCCCAAGCTCGGTGTCAATGCCCGTAACAATTTTACGAAACGTTACTTTACGTAACGAATCACCCACCAAAAAAAAAGCCTGCCCGTACAAAAGTACACGTATAAAAAAAAAAAAAAAAAATAAAAAATAAAAAAAAAAGCGAGCATCATCGTACCTAAGTGTCGGCCTTGCAGCACACTCATCTTGGCGCACATCATATGTAACAGAGTTTGTCCGTAGATTCCTGAGCCTCCGTCGCCCCTTGACTCCCTCGTCCAGCTCTCTAAACAACAACAACTACAACAACAACTAAAACAACAACTAGAACACACAATATCTGGTGCTCCATCGCACGTTTTGCTGCTGTCTAGGGTCCATCTTCACTTTCCTCTCCTCTTCGAGTCGTCAAACGATTTGGTGCACAGCACAATACTTATCAGTGGCCTCACTACTGATCGGGTGAGCCTCACCACTAACTTGTTACCGCCACGTGCGTGTTACGAGGAACAATGAAGAAAACTGACGGGGACGCGAGGACGAAAAGACGGAGAGAGAAAGCACATAAAAGTTTGACCGAACCGAGTCGAGAACGAGTGAGTAGGAACCGCGCGCGGAGGAGGCTCGCCGCGGAGTGAAGGCGCTCGCGGGCCCGGGCGCTTTTTTCGGCGTAGCGGGACCACTTTGGGCTACCACGTACGGCCTGTCCTCCCAAAACTCCGACGACGTCGTGAACGAGCCGAGAATCGGAGAAAAAGAGAGAGAGAGAGATAAAGATGAGGGAGGGGGAAGGGAGCCGCAGCAGCTGTGACCTCGATATTCAACCACCGGGCCGATACATGCGTGCGGGCATCGGAGGCACACACGTATGCCACTTGGCCCCAGTCAATGCCAAAAAGCCGAGCTGCTGCCGGTGCGCGCTCCGCGTGTACGCGGAACTTTCACTCTCTCTCGCGAACATGCGAGGACCCTCTTTTTTTTTTTATTCCTCCTCCTCCTACTATTCTTTTCTTCCTTCGAACTGTGTGCCTTTGGGAGATTCAGCTTTGGATTCCCTTTTTCCTTTTGTTCTCTGCAGTGAAGAAGAGCAAAGACACGAGTCGTTTCCGCTGCGCCTTGCTTTCTTTTCGCCGATGCCTATGCAGCTTTCCCCGCGACTTTTGTTCCCATCCTTCCAAACACCCTTAGGTTTGTTTCTTGGTAGGTAAGTCTATCAAAAATCTCGTTGATACGGCCCTGTAGTTGACGAAATCAGTGAGCTCCTCCTGAATTCATGGCAACCAACCCTCCTTGTCCCATAAATTGTTCAGAAAAGAATGCATCATCCATCGGCAACAGTCTCACAGTGAAATCCCAAAAGTTCACCCTCGAAGGTCGTCCACGTCTCGGTCCTGTTTCTCGTGTGCTCCCTTCGTTTTTTTTTTTATTTTCCTTATCCAAAGAGAGACGAAGAGAGCGCAGCGGGAATCGAAAGCGCTCGACGAAAGTCGAAAGCCCCAGAGTTGCCGGTGCACGCGCTCCTCCTCCTCCGCTTCGACGTGGAAAGTAAAAGTGAGCGAACCGAAAATACCGGTTTCCTTCTTCTTCTTTCTGTCTCCGCGCGATGCGCTTCGTCAAGTAATAACCTGCCGCTGCGACTTTTCAGGCCCGTCGTCGCGGGGCTGCTATCTTGCCGATGACGCCGATGCTACGTTGCGTAACTCGCAGTATCCGGCGCAGCTGCGCCCCCCTGCTTTTTTGCTCTTGTGCACTTACATTCGCGACTGATTTGTTTTTCGATTCGGCCGAGGTTTTTTTTTTTCATTAGCTCTTCTGATTCGAACCCCTTTGGCCAAGGACGCACACGAGGGAGAGAACGACGGCTTATTAGGAACTTTTTTTTCCTCTCTTCCAGCGAAATAATTGATAAGCCTTTACTTGTTAAACCTTCGCGCGAAGGTAGGAATGAAGCTCAACCCCCTAATATATGTACCTTAAACTTTGGTTTTTTTTTTTTTTTTATGTAGTGTTAAAAGCGACTGCTTGTTTGCTATCGTTTCTTCTCTTACAAGCAAAGAACTCCCGGATTAGCAAAATAGTTTTTATTTTTTCTAAATCACCAAAAAGTACCATTATCACAAATTAAGACATTGTTCCCTAAAATGTCATCATCAACGCAACGTAGTAAGCGTATATACACAGTTCACGAGTTCTTTGAATCACAAAAGCACAGAACGTCCCAACTCTGCAGCCCCGAAAAGCCCAAAATATGAAAAGAGCGTCCCCCCGTGCACCACCACAACCACCACCGCGAGCTACAACCACTGGCCCGCTCGCGTCTACGCTCCGGCGGTCGAGTTTCTTGTGCTCGCGTAGCGCACAGTGCGGGCCCTCGCGGGAGCTCGGCTGCTCTAGGCCTAGGAGCATAATAGAGCGTAGGCTCTCGATGCTGCTGCGCCGCCGTCCTCTTCTCTCTCTCTATCTCGCCTACTTCGCTCCTTCCTTTTCCATGCACGCACGTCTTGTGCACTCCCTTGCGCGCTCGCTCGTGTATAGGTATATACCCACGGCGAGCGAGCCAACAGCAGAGAGCCGAGCGAGCGGTCGGCCCTGGCATACTTACTAATGTCAATCACACCGGCAACCACCACCACCAACCGTGCACTTCTGCACGTTGTGCACGTAGGATGCATTCATACATATAATTTGTCGAGAGTGTGCGCGCGTGTGTGTTTGTACTTGGCTCGGCTTCGTTCGACAATATATTTATATTGCCCGCGCACACAAGCAACCTTAGATTATGACTATATTGTTGCGAGGGTGTGTGTGTGTGTGTGTGTGAGTGGTGTACGCACAATGCAATACATGTACAGGGTACGAGCGAACTTTGTCTGGAGTTTTCTGCTTCTTTATTACGATACAATATGGTATACGATTCTTCGAAAAAAGCTCTTGGGTTATCCCTTTGGGACATCCGAGTGTCGAACATTGCGGGGCTTGCTGTGTGAAAACTTGTTCTCGTAGTCCAATACGAGGTGGTTACAATTCACCACGAGATTATAACATAAACGTCGGTAAGGTTGCGGAGTGAAAAAAAAAAAAAATTAAAAAAAAAAACGCGTTGTCAAGAGGGGAGAGAGGGTGGGGGAGCTCCGATAGGTGATACTCCGCGAGAGAAGTATAAGCAGGGGAAGGGTGGGAGAGGCCGTTAGGCGCGTTTGAATGTCGCGGGCTCGGCGCTCTTTCGATCTCTCGTGCTGCGCCGCGGCCCTGAACCTTCCGCTTTCGTCAAACGCCCGCCCTTAACCCTCTACGCTCCTTTCAACGGCGCTGCTGCTGTTATATTCTACACTCGTCGGGTTTATCCTTATACGTGAGTTTGCTCTCGCGCTTATTATCTTCGCTGCTTTTGGATGTATGCAATTGTTGATGGATTTTTATGGAAGGCTGTCGATGAGTTGCTCGTTTCGGATTTTTTAAATGGGATCATTGATTTTTTAATGGGATCATTGCGTTTTTCTTGATTTCCAGGTTTCATCATGCTTTCCGTGCAAAGTTCTGCTTCGAAATCAAAATAAGCATCCCAATCCCCTAAACCGGCCAGACGCCCGTCTTACCTAAAATCGACCTGTTCTACTTAAAATTAGAAAAATACATAATTAAATCGACCATCATACGTTGACCACCTCGATATCATGGATCTTTTATTGCAGTTAGTTGGGTACTCATTCTATCGTTTTACACTAATAATAAGGAAGATCATTGAGTAAAAGTACCTAAGCACTAATCCATACAAAAATATTCAAGCTCGGGCGACTTGTCGATGCATTTTCCCTACTTTTTTCTCCTGTACATCTGCTATTTTTCTTCTTTGTAATTTAATGGCTTTCGCACGCAGACCTCGAGCGATGATTATTTTATCCACAAACTTTTATTTGAATAATCTGCTAAAATGGCGAGCATAAAATACCTACACTGTTGTCATGTAAGCTCTTACTTTCTTTCATTAGATCATCCATCTAATAAACGATTAAAAAAAACAAACGATGTTTTCTTTCGCTTGTATAAGTACACGCCATCTTCTGTGAGATTATGCTCGTAAAAGAGACGAAAGTCCCGCCGAACTGGTTCCTCCCATACACTTTTAGCATGCGTTTTTCTGTTTCCTACTTTAGACTTGAATATCATGCGCAGCGTGCGAACTGGCAAATGAGACACTGGTGCGCGGCAGCGAACGTCGAGCATCAAACAAAACGTCCGTGAGGGAACGAAGCGAACGATCGACCTCCGTGCGAGTTGCATGCGAGAGGGTAGTGTGTGTGTGTACGTGTCGACACCTCGATCGCCTATTCTTCGCTTATAGCTGGCCAGACGATTCTCTCTCGCTGACGTCGCTGTTGTTGCAATTATGGCTCATTTTTTATACCCTGCCTCGGCTGTATATGCCGTTGGCGAAGCTTATAGCTTCGTTACTTTGTGCACTGTATTACACGTGACTTTGTCACGCAAAAAAAGCTGATGCATACGCATTTCTAGTGTGTAGTTTTATAAAAATTATGTATGTGCCAAATAACTGCAGTTTTTATTTATTCATAATTTTATTCGTCATCATGCGAGATCAACTGTAGCCTCTCTAGTTTATAGGAAAGACATTAGACGTGAACCTACCTTTGAACTGAGGTCCACGTCTCTACCATCCGAACCATATGAGCAGGCATTGGATGTCGACGAATTCTTCGGTATTATTTTATTTTATTTTTAACAGTAACTCACTGTTATACAATGGAAATATTATACTACTCAGATTATACTACTTCTAAGGAGATGAAAAAAAAAAGTTAGCCTCTTCCTGATTTATTTGGCTATTCTATTCAATAACACATAAATAAATAATTAAGTAAAAACCCTGTGAGGGATAAAAAAATAAAATTTTCGTAATAAACGATGTGATGTGTTCGAAATGTTTCAGATGTCACAGATCAGGTGCCGCAGATTTCTTCAAATTTAGATCATAAAAAAACATTCCGCGTAATCGATTTGGTTAACCCCTTCGAAAAAAAACTCCTTCGTGCAAAAAATGTCAGAGGAAGAGTTAAAAAATTTATCTCTAAATTTCGTTGAAAAAAAAAAAAGTTACAGGAAGCCTTGAATAATCATGTGCGATCATTCCTTCATTTTATACAAACACGTGGACAAAAATTGAATCTCCACTTCAAGGTGTACCGATAATGTATTACAA